ATTCCTCACAAGAAGTGTTCAAGTAGGTCCCCCATATCCCCTGACCATTTAGGTAGATGTTTTAGATAGAAGCAATTAGAAAAGTTGCTATCATTCCCACTTTCCCCTCCAGTGTGAACATGGCACAACCAATTCCATAAAGTACAAAGTACCTGGACAGAAGCCCTTTTTTATCTCTCCATTTAAGAGAATGAAAAGCATTTCAGGATCTTGACATGTCTCTTAAAAATCCCTGGATCCCTGGCAGTCCAATTTGATGGCAGCGGTAGGAAATATTGATCAAATAATAGGTAACATTTTCAGGTTCTCAGTGGTAACTCTTTCTTTAGGTTCTTTGTCTAATGTTATCTACCTCAAAGTGGGAAGTTTCTACTATATTTAAAAGAAAAATATAAGACAGGAAAAGTACTTCAGTGAAAGATGCCCTTTTGCAGGCAGGCTGTGCTTAAAGCAAAACTCTCACTGACTGCAATCCACTCAGAAGAGCAAAGAGAAGCTGATGCTTTTACTTATACATAACGCCTGGTGGGAAGTAATATACGAGTGTCATATCTCTGATCTCTTCTTAGCTGCAGGTGAAATGCTGAACTATTACTAGAATTCAGGGGATTAATATGGGTGGTTTTAATAATGTTTGAGCGACAGCAATTTCTCATTTCCTGGAACTCTGAAGTTTTGATTTCATTTCTCTGTTGGGTTTGGGTTTTTTTTGTTTGTTTGTTTTTCTTTCTTCTTTCCAGGGAGATTTTTGCAGCTTAGAAAATGTAGATTCTCCCCTTCAAATACAAACTTTACACTAGCAGCTCTAATATGACTTTTTCCCCTCTTCCAAAGGCAATAGCATAGAGACAGATGCTTCAGGCTGGCCCAGTCTCCATTGCAGGTCTCATTAAAAATAAAAAAAATACTTTTTTAATAGTTATATTTCAGCCAAAAGCAATACACTTTTCAACCTTGTACTTCTGATACAATTCTTCATATCGTAGAATCGTTTAGGTTGGAAAAGACCTTTAAGATCATTAAGTCCAACTGAAGTCCAAATCTGATGCGGTTATGCTTTATATAGATGCTTTCTCTCTCCTGGGCATTTCCTACCAGAGTTTTTAGGAATGAGGTTGAACTTCTACCTTCTCTCTCAGGCCAGGAGGTCTATGACAACCTGGACTTGGAAAAAAGGAATGAGGTCTTGAAGTAAGACTTTCCAAAGGGTTGTTAGTGCTCTGAGGTCACACCTGACTATAAGTTCCAGTTTTGCTCCCATCCTGGTTCACTGAATAGCATTGTGCCATACAATCAGATTTTATTGCCTGCAAGGACTAC